CCATTTGGCATGCTTGAAATCCCATATACCTGAGCTTGTCCAAAAAATCTTCCTTATATGTACATGTCCTAGCGGTTCTTAATATTTCGGAGTACATTGCGCCAATTTTAATACCCTTAAAAACGTTGGTAGTGTAGTGTGGGAAACGTTACTGGGAATCCAAAGCTATGTGTCTTGTCATACTGGACTAGTCCGGGAGGATAGAAGCACTGGATCTCATGCTTTCTAACGGTCATCATTGTTTAACTTTCCAGTCAAACACCATCACAGCTCAGAATACTGTTACTTTATGTCTACTTTTTTTTTATGAATAATTGATTTTCCGTTTTGTGCACTGCACTAACCCCTTGACTTCTGCGATGCTGGTTTTGGTCCCAGCAGATTGGCGGACCTACTAAGACGGTATCGGGAGTTCTACATATGTCATCTTGTACGAGCTTGCAGTGTTGGCGGCCATTGCCCTTCTGAGCCGAATTCCAATCCCTCTTCACGCAGATCCCTCTGTTGCTCCCTATTAGTTTGAAATTACTGCTTATCGGGGACTTGTTTGTGTTTCTTTTAGCCTTTCTGTTATTTTCTTTGATTTCCGGTAATAAATCATAATCATAATCACAGTTCCGAATGAAAGCTGAGTGGTGGAAAACTGGTGGCACTTTGCGATCCGACAGGTACCGCGTGAAGAGCCCAGCCAGAGTTCTGACGATCCCTGGTGGGAGACTCTTCAGATGTTCTGATTTGATCATATCGTTGACTGGGCGCTGTACTATTTTTCATCGACGTGATGGCATGTCGTATTTCGGAAGGAGGACCAAAGTAGTGATATTTTCGCCTTGTCTAAGATTGTGGGTAGGCGACGTGGCTCTTGAAGTGATCCGAGTAGATGTTGTAAATGACCTTCTCCATTGCTCTTCGAGAAGAAGTAGCCGTTCCGTCAGGACGACGAAGCGAAGTCGGCTCGGTCTTGTAATTGGCGAAACTCTGTCGGGCTTCGCTAATGCTCTTTCCAGCCTCGAACGGCTTCGTCCATAACTGCTCTTTCAGACCCTCTTTCAGATTTACCTTTATCGTTTCTCTGCATAACTTCGCAAGTTCGGTCGCTCGTTGATAATGGTCTGTGGCTCGCGCGATTCCACGCTGGCGTATCAGCTCTAGGGCCTTTAAAGAGAGTCGTCTCGTGGCTAGTTGTACACTGTCTGCCTTTGCTAGCGCTACCGAGAAGAAGTGTCGAAGATATATACACAATCAAGACAATAGGATGCAGTATTTGGTTGACATTGTACAGTTATATTTATATTTACATTTAAATGTGTAATGCAATGTAATTTTAAAATCATTAGCATGTGTGTCAAAGGTAGCAGTTTTTTGCGTTGCAGAGAGTTGCAGAGTACATACATACATTACTACTTAAATACAACATTGATCATATTTTGACATTTCAAATAAGTTCATTTTCAGACTCAAAAAAAAAACTTCGGCGGAGATTTCAACCTTCCTGATACTATTTGAACGTGAATTTCACCTTCTCGTCGTTCCAATCTCGGTCCTTCTTGAGCATGATCCTTAGTCATAAATGCTGTCAATTAGTCGATGCTTGCACAAGGACTAGTAGTGTTCTGGATTTGCTTCTTTGTAAGGTTGTGTCGTTCGCGGCCTTACCATCGGTTGGCCGCTCCCGTTGCATAGCGATCATGCTTCCATCACTTTCAAAATTGAGGTTTGGGTGTAGTTCATTTCGAATTCCATAAGCTCATCTTGTGACAGTGGTGGCACTGGGCTTCCTAAAGTTGGGAAATGTACTTCCCACAAGTATTGATAGAGACTCTTGAAACAG